AGCGCTCGACGACTTCTTCAAGTCCCAGCCTCCGCCGTTCTGAAAGGATGCACCATCACCATTCACTACTCGACAAGCTGCCTGAGCGCTGGCGTCGAGTAGTGAATGGTGATGGTGCATACCTCTAATCTCCAGGCTGGTTCCGTTTTTGAGATATTTACAAAAAAGTCGTGTATAAGAACTTATGCGACAACCTAATAATTCGTCTAAGACACAAATTTTGCGCTAGTCGTGTGGGCGGAGCCCGACCACCGCCCCGTGTCCTTACTGTTGTGCACCTCGCTTCTGAGACGGTAAGGAGGGGGAGGGGTGTCGATAAGGAAGGCATATTAGTAGGTCTGGCTCCGCCCATATGACAAGTGTGAAATGCACTCTTCATTTAGAAAGACTAAATGTAACGAATAGACCAAAATGGCAAGATAATCCGTTCCGCCTTTTTCTTAGACGAAGGACTATGAGAAGTAATAACCCGAGACTATAATCGAAAACTTCAAAGAAATAACAAGCCTTCCACGAAATCTTCTCTTCGTTAATGTTCCAGAAAAGCAGATAAAAAATGTACAAAAAGGGCAAAAAATACTAGTTGTATTAGTGCATAATTCCGCTCCGAAGGACAACAGGGCTTTGACGACAATTCTAAAGAAATACCTTGACTTGGGGAATGACAAAATCGGTCATGAATACCCTTGCATATTCGCCAATATACGGCCATAATTGAAGGATTACCTGAAAAAAAGTGGCTGGATTAATCGAATAGATGGCACCAAGGAAGATGACCCTGGAGAGCAAAGAGATACTTCCTTCTGTGACCTCCAACAAGGAGATAAGTTGGGAATTTTTGGAGAAAGGCTAGAGAATACTACGAATCGATAACATGCCGTATGTACCTTACCAGTCGGCTCGCCGGCTGACGCCGGCGTGCTTCCTTCTGATACGGCCCGGCTGTTTCAGATGGAAGTTCCCACGAGAAAAGAATCCTAGGCCATCCTCTAATTGTGGGTAAGCCTCCCCGTCTCCGGCATATAGCGTACCAGTCGGCTCGCCGGCTGACGCCGGCGCGCCTCCTTCTGATACGGCCCGGCTGCGCCGGGCGGGCGCGGCTTCGCCGCGCGTACCTTCTTTCACATATTTCTAGACTCAACTGATATCAGGCTTTTGTTCTGTATTCATGGTTAAAGCTTCTCGACAAATACATCATCCCTGCTATTTTGACTACTACTACTACTACTACTACTA